TTTACAACAGAGTGTGCTGGCTGTCTCTACGTTTTTGTTCAGGTGACCAAAGAATCTGGAAAAGTCCTTGCTGCTATTGATGTACAATATTGTGGTTGGTTTTAACACACATGTGACACACACACAGGCATATGTGTGTGTGTGTACATTTATAGTGTGTGTAACTTTATATTTTACACATTATTAAATATAAATTTGGGGTAACTTTAGCTGTGCTGTCAACTTTAGAAAATTCTCCCATCTGTGCAGAATTGAGTTGGCATTGTACAGAAATCAACAGCTATATTGGTCTAGAAACATTAAACTTCATTTCCACCCCAGCCCACCCTTCCATTTGTATAGGGGCAAGACATGGTACACATGTGCGGTCTTATCTACATGGGTTTGATTGCAGAAATCAATATGCTCTAAATAAAAGAGAGAAACAGGCACCAAAAGTTCCAAGATTTACGTGTCATAAACCAGTCACTCATCAAGAGACCAATTTGACTCTCAGCACCATTCCAAATGTTCAGTGAAGAATTCTGTTTGGCTTACGTACCTCCCTGACCTGGTCGACACAATTATATTAAACCTTTACAGTGAATACATTAGAAATACCATAACATCACTAAAAATAATTGAAAAACTAAGAAATGCTTTTTAAAAATTCATATGCATGTTCCTTAGAATGGGAGTGGTGGGAGAGAGAATGTGTGGTTTTTTTAAAAAAACTCTTCCAATAATGAGTTCTTCATCTTGTTACTACATGAAAAGAAAGCTTTAAAAATCCTAACTCAGTTGGTCCTTTGAAGACCTGTAGATTCCTTTCATACCAAGAATATTGTACAAGGGTGTTCCCTATGCTAGCTGTCAGGGAAACAGGCCAAAGCACACCAACATTCTAGAAGTAGCCTCACACATACAAATGAGTGATACAGTATTAGTCCCCCTAGCCTGCTGCTCTACAACATGCAAGCTAAAGAAATGGAAAGTTTGTTTGTGTTTCATATGCTTCTGTAAAGCAAAGTCCTTTCCACCTGATGGGATCTCTCTCGTTTTTTCAATCATTTTATTGGGGGCTCTTACAGCTCTTATCACAATCAATATATACAGCCATTGTGTTGAGTACATTTGTACATATGTTGCCATCATCAGTTTCAAAACACTTTCTACTTGAGCCCTTAGTATCGGCTGATTTCCCCTGCCCCCTCCCCCCTCATGAACCCTTCATAATTTTTTTTCATGTCTTACACTGAACACTGTCTCCCTTCACTCACTTTTCTGTTGTTCGTCTCCCTCAGAGGGAGTTATATGTAGATCATTGTGCTTGGTTCCCCCTTTCTCCCCCACCTTCCCCTTACCCTCCTGGTATCGCTACTCTCATTATTGGTCCTGAGGGGTTTTTCTGTCCTGAATTCCCTGTTTCCAGCTCTTATCTGGAGCAGTGTACATGCTCTGGTTTAGTCAGATTGGTAAGGTAGTGGGGGAGGGGAGGGGGG